TTAAAGGCCGTTTAGACAGAAAAATCGGGTAAGGACTTGTCAAAAAAGGAGTCTGGACCTGACATTTTTGCCCATTTAAACAATCCGTACCATGTTTTGGGGGATGGGTACGGACCCGTGTTTTTTCTTGTTTTGGGGCCATAGACGTCTATGGCCCCAAAACCAGAAAAAACATGGGTCCAGACCAATTTCTTGCATCAAGCATGGCCATTTTGTTTACAAGAATTACTGTATTTACTCAAATAAGCGCCGCCCTCGAATAAGCGCCGCATCTGGGACAAAAAAAGTTAATAAGCGCTGCCCTCGAATAAGCCCCGCACTCCTGATGCGACGCTTATTCGAGGAATTCCGTATAACCAGGAAAAACATTATAAAACAATTTTAACACAGCATCAGCAATTTATATTCTTTTAATGTGATGTTCTTTGGTTCAAAGTGACTGTATTTCTCTGCTCGGGTTATGAAATGCTCGGGGTTTTTTCACCGCATGAATTTCTCTTGTAATTCTAGATTTACTATCAGTTTAGCATCAGTCCATAGGAAAATTGACGGATAGAAAGTGTACCGTTGAATAAAAATGTAGAAAAGTAAATTTGTCTGGTACAATATTTAAATAAGCGCCGCACTTGTGGCGCGAAAAATTAAATAAGTGCCGCGGCGCTTATTGAGTAAATGTAGTACACATATTTACAGTATGTACAGTATTTGGTACACAGCTGTACCAAATACTGTAGTCCCATGCAAGAAATTGGTCCGGTCCCCCAAAAACTGCAGTGTAAACGCAACCTTGCTAACTTGGTCCTTTTTGTAAGACAAGTGATAAAACATCATCCGTGTAAACGGCTAAAATTATGCGGTCTGCACTACTTTTTTCACACGTCTGTACCCAATTTTTCTGCCATGTAAACGGCCTTTTAATCTTCACCTGTTAATGGAATCTATTTTCTATTTAATCAACAGCTTCCACTTTGCTTCCAGTTGCTACTGCAGCTGATACCTCACCAACAAAATCTGTTAGTGCCACCACCCCATCTTCAGCTGCTGTTACAAGCAGTACTGCAGCAGTGAACAGAGAAGTTGAAAATCTCACAAAAAAGCTAGGTTCTTCTCTGGGAAGTGGAGGTACTTTAAGAAGCCTTTAACTCAATGCTCACCTTTACCATTGACTATGTCGAAAGCAACACTTTTTCACTTAAAACGTGTTTCTCGCCAAAACAAAAAAACCTTGAATGCCATTCATTAAGAATTTTTTTCTTAACCCCCTACACCCTGACATCAGTATGCATATTCCCCATACTGTTCTCTACACATTTCCTAGGGTGCTGACAAGGAGAATTTGTGTGGCAATCAAGAGCTTCTTTACAAACAGTTCCATACAAACGACTCATTCACGACATAAACGTTACAAATGAACCAAACAGAACGACCTAACTTTACGGACGGATCAAAACAGACCAATCACGACCGACTTGTGCCACTTGAGTCTTACAGCCAATAACATCACGGCAAAACTGACCAGTCATTTTATAACAAACTGAAATAAGAACATTCTACTGACAACAACTATTCACTTGACTCTGATGATGACTTCCGCACAGGTTGTCAAAACATCAGTCACTACCACCGACAATAGTCCTTCTCAGGACTACACTCGCCTAGACGATCACACAACATTTTCACTTGTTACCCCCGGGTTCAAGCCATTTACTGCAAGAGCTTCTTTAGTTGATGATCATTTCATATATTCTCGTGACTCAAATGTGTGATTCAGGGGTGATTTTGTAAGGAGAAAGAAGATGCTACTCTCTCTTAGGAGTTAAGAGTTAAACAGTTGTGGAGATTTCTTTGAAAGCCACATCATATTAAAATGTGTCTTTAGTTTGATTTTGTTGAAGCAGGTGTAATTTGATATCAGTTATAATGTCAACCATTTAGGGAATTTTACTAGTGTCAATTGTAATGTTTGTTGAATCTCAGATGCTTTCTATTTTAGAGGAAGAACTTGTCTGACTGAAGGAAAATAAGGATAAAATATCATATTGACTTCCACAGCACCTGCTTGCTTCTTCAAAATGACACAAAATGGTCCCCATTAACTGCAGTTGAATATTGTTGTACATAGTTACTTTAATTGGGATTTGGATTTTCAGTTTAAATTTCCAAGAAACAAATAATTATGCTTTTTAAATTTATTTGTTCTTAAAAGCTAACTGATCATGTATGTTTTAATTCTCTCTTAGGACATACTACTCGTCAAACCCAAGGAAATGGTGGCCCCCGTCCTCCTAAAAGACCAGGCTATGGTACAAAAGGCCGCCCTATACCTTTGAGAGCAAACTTCTTCCGCCTCAATGTCTCACCGGGGCTTTCAGACCTGTATCACTATGATGTTGAAATAACTCCAGAGAGATGTCCCAGAAGTGTTAAGAGAGATGTTGTAAATGAAATCATAAATAAGTACAAAAAGACAACATTTCAAGGCCACCATCCTGCTTTTGATGGTGAAAAGAATCTGTACAGCAGGATAAAGCTGCCTGTTCCTGTGAGTTTCTTATCGACAGCTTTTTCTAGTGTGATGCACTGTAGTAACCCCCAAAGCTGTGGTCTAGCAGTGCCCGGTGGCCCCTGGGGCCTTACTTTTGCTCCTGGGTGACTCAGGAATTTTAGTTTTTTCATACAAAGTGTATGCTGGGCACCCTGGATTTCACGGTTTCAAAGCACTGGGCTCCATTCAGTTTTCCTCAGAGCACAGCCTTGCACCCCTCACTGATGGGTTATCCTTTGCAAAGGAGATTGTTTAAGAGGTAATAAATGGCCAATGCTAGAAAGTTAAGCTTTAGAAACTCAGGATGCTGGCCAATTTACATTATCAACTCAGGTGATAAAATCAGATTATCTTGAAAACAATATAATTTGGGCTGCAACATATGTGTAAACTTTCACTACTTACATAAAAGAAGTATGATGGACAATGATTTTGTGAGAAATGCGTAATTAAACAATTGTTAATTATTAACAAATCTGACCTCAAACAAGGGTGTCCATGGGGAAAAAAAATGTAAAATGTTAATTTTGATACTTACATGTTTATGGTACACTTCATAAATAGTATATCTTCAGGCAACACTGAACTATTTTCAACACTTTGATCCAAGAATCTCCTGTTAGAGTTAAGAAGTTGTTTTTCTATTTTTGTGCGACTTACAGGCTGAACTTGATGTTAAACTACCAGGTGATGATGGAGGTAGAGACAGGGTTTTCAAGGTTAGAATTTGCCTCAATATACTTTGCATACCAGACGAATAGTACAAAATTGATAGATAATTATAATGTTGCCCTGGCGATAGTCCTGTTTTGGATGCAATCACTCTGTATTGAATGGGTGATAAACAAATGGTTTATAAATAAACTTGACATATTTCGTAAAAAAGATTGTGCTTAAAAAATGTTGTTATGATATGGATAGCAATCACAATTTTTAACTGATACTCAAGGTGAAATGCTACCTGCAGATCTTTAAAGTTGTACAGTTCAGACAAATTTTTGTAATGTTTGCACTGGAAGCATTATCATTAATAGTCATTTATTATGCTTAATTTGTAATTGTAGGCAGCATGTACTAATTCAAATGGATAATAATTTTAATACTTATTTCTATTTTACTTACTAGGTTAAAATTCAGTTTGCTGCTGCCGTGAGTCTTTTGGAACTTAACAACTTTTTGAGTGGAAAACAGAATGGCAAAATACCTCAGGATGCAGTCCAAGCATTGGACATTGTGGTGCGACAGATGCCGTCAGTGTATTACACCCCTATTGGAAGATCATTCTTTCCATTTGATGGTCAAGGAAGACCCCTTGGAGAGGGGTGTGAAGTGAAATTTGGTTTTTATTCAAGTATCCGGCATTCTGAGTGGAAGGCCATGCTGGTGAACATTGATGGTAAGTTGTTGTTATTGGCAATATTTCATAGAAATAACATGTTCTTGCCATATTGCTTTGAAACATTTGTGGAATACATCCTCAAATGTTGTCTACTCAGTAATGTTCAAGTCTCAAGAAATTTTGTTATCAAGAGTATAATGTAATTCTGGAAAGGTGGTACTGTTTCCTTTTGTAAAATGAGCTTTCCTGTTCCCAATCATTAATCCGTGAACCCTTTGCACCTTAAGATCAGTATGGATATTCTCCATATTGTTCTTTAAACAATTCAACAACCAGTCAAGAACCTTTTCAGTTGGTGATTATTTCCTTTATTCTTGTGACCTCATTGTTTGTCATTCAGGAAGGGGGAAGGGTGGGTTGGGGGGGTGATATTACAATGAGAAACTAGATGCTAGTTACTGTTAGGCTTTTAAGGGTTGGAGAACTGTCCCGGCATTTACAGGAAATTCTCATTGAGTTTCTGTATGTTTAGTCTCTGCAAAAGGCTTTTACAAGGATCAACCTGTTGTACCTGATTTCCTTTGTGAAACCCTTGATGTGAAACACCATCAGCTTGAAGATCACAGATTTGAACTCGACAGGTGGAGGCTTGAGAAGGCTATACGTGGTTAGTTGCTTAATGTCTACTGTTCTCTGACAGTCACTCTCAGACTGGTAAATATCTATGCACAGGTCTGTTCATTGTGGTGGGTTGTGAATGGTTGTGGGTTTATACTGAGCTGAAAAACCAGCAGGTAAATATCCACTAATTTCAGTCAGAAAATGACAAATGTGAATAATTATTTTTGAATTAGTCACAAATAGAAATGAGAAAATAGTTTTGTAAAGTTAACTTAAATTTTAATCATATATCAACACTGATGGAAAGGGTGAAACATTGTTCTCATAGACTGCTTAGGTAAAAGTGGGTTCCCTGTTTTCCAGTTTTTCCACCACTTGGAATGTTCTGTGTAGTAGTACATTAGAATTACTGACATATAAACAGCCTTTAACTCCCTAGATTTCTGTTATTAGATGCTGAGGCTATATCCATTTTGACACCATTAATAATTTTTGAAAGAAGCTTAATAGTGCTGTTTTTTTTATGAGCACTAAAAGTTTTGATTTTTTTAAAATAAGCTCTCATATTATAATTTAAAAAAATTGAATTAGCCTGAATTATTAATAGAATTTTAAGATTTCTATAATTTGGTGTTATTTTTTCTCTGTTAAAAATATTAACGTGACTTTTTTTCTGGGGTGTGTGTGTTTAAGGAGTTCGTATACAAACTACTCATGCTGCCTCTATTAAGAGGAAGTACACAGTTTGGGGCGTGTCAGAAAAATCAGCCGACAGGATGCAGTTTGATGTTACAGACGAGGGAAAGGGTCGCACATACAAAACAACTGTTGGAGAGTATTTCAAGGAGAGATACAAATTGATTTTAAGGTATGAACTGTTGATGATTAATATAACCAGGGTTAATAGAGGGGAATTAACTCTGATAAAACTTGTGGGCAGTCTCTCATTAACACTGCTGGACGGGTATATTGCGGGCTTCTCGCGAATTCTGCAAGAGTTCGTCCGGGTCCAACACCTTCTCGAGGGACCTGGGACAAAAGTTGAAAGCCTGGATAATATTTTCCGACACCTCATAGACCTCCCGCCGCCTTGCGTCCCTAGCAGAGATACTCTTTTAGGTACATTGTAGGAGCGCCGATGAGGGCCAGCTCGCAAGCTTTGATTAATAAATAATAACTTAGATCAAAATTGCCATGATATACATACCTCCTATTAACCGAGTTTGAGGTCCGCACCGTTGTTTACGAACCAGTTTTTTCCGCGTGTATTTGTGAACCAAGCGCGTGGCTCGCAGGCCTAAAAAAACGAACAGAAATTATGAGACTCCATAACATAATATCGCAGACCAAGAAAATGTGGCTGAAAAGATATTTTTACTGACATCTCTGGGTTCAAATTGAGGAGAGAGATTTCAATTCGAACAAACTTTGAATTTAGCAGGTCGTACAGTGCAATACGGCCTGCCAAATGAGAGATAAGCTAATGCCACATGTGATTCCAACTTACGTCTATTTGACATCAATGGGCCCTCAACTGATACCTGTTGAAAGGCGGCCTAATATTAAGCTTTGTTATCTTTAGGTATCCTCACTTACCGTGCTTACAAGTTGGACAGAAAAAGGACAGATATCTGCCAATGGAGGTCTGTACTATTATTCCTTGTCACAGAAAACATTTATCGGAACAACAGACTGCAAACATGATCAGAAGTACTGCTCGCCCTGCGCCTGAGCGACAGCGTGACATTCAACACTGGGTAGGTTCATTTCCCCTTGAAGTCTTTTATTTTGTATTTGAACCAACTTGCATGCTTGTCTTCATTGGCGAATCCAGACCTTGAGCCAAAGGTGGGTGGGGGGAAAGGGATTTGACTGTGTGTATACATCTGCCGGTTTTTCTTCCCTCTACGTTTATTGTTTTACCCAAAATATGGGGAGGGGGCGTGCCCCTCCCTAAGATCCGCCACTGGTCTAGCATTTGGGTACTCATTATTCTATGGTATACTCTTTTATCGTCAAAATTTGTAGTTTGCAAAGCAAAGCATCCGCAAAGTGAAATTTCATTTTGCATGTAACAACAAACTAAAAAATAGCGTCTGCTATGGAGGAAAACGAAAACAACTACAACCGCTAAAACAACGAACGTGTTCGGCTAACGTTCAAAATGTTAGCTTTAGAAACTCTGTACAGTGGCCAATTTAAGTACTCAACTCAGTTGATAAAACCAAATTATCTTGTAACACCCCCCCCCCCCCTCGACACAGCACCACAGTTTCTCTAGAAACTTACCCCCTTTAAACGTTTTTAGACATAATTGATGCAAGCTGAACAGAAAGTGACCTAAAGCTGTAGGAAAAATGAAATCAGTTATAGATCTAAAAGTACTTGACAATGAACGTAAAGCTTTTAGAAATATGCAAAGAATACGATTTTTTTAGTTAACTGTCGTTAGTTAGTAATTTCCCAGATACAATCCTTGTGACTCAGATATAATAATATTAATTATAACTTTTTTTTAACAAAATATACTCTTTCTTAAGAGCAATTAAAAAAATAGCTATTCACATAATAAAGTATGTAAGAAGAAAAAAGACCGATAATGGCTTCATTAGTTACTATTACTACTACCACCACCACCACCACCACCACCACCACCATTTAGATAGGTTATCGAGTTAAAATTTTTCTCGAGACTCAGCGGAGTTTTGTGCTAAAGCATCGACCTCCTGAAATAAAATTTTTAAACCCTTAATGTCTTAAGAATGCTAATGTTTCTCTTGTGTGATTCAAATCTTGCAAGGTCCAAGAAATGAATCGAGCAAGTAGTAAATACTTAAAAGATGAATTCCAAACCTCAGTCAACACAGAGATGGTTAAGGTAGAAGGACGTGTGCTTCCAGCACCCAGAATCAACCTTGGACCGCAGGATCAGCCATTGGTTCCTCGTGATGGTTCATGGGATATGCGCAACAAATCACTGCATGATGGAGCCCGTATTGATAAGTGGGCATTGGCTTGCTTTGACAGGGGATGTCGGGAAGAACAGCTGAGAAATTTTTCTAGGCAAATGGCCAGTGTATCCAGTCGACAGGGTTTGAGGATGTCAGAGCAGCCAGTTGTTGTGGCATACGGCAGGGGCGCCAGAGATGTAAGATATCTTTGCATTTAACAGGTGTTCCGTAACAACGAAATGACTGTCGTTGATAAATCCACCGAACAAAGGTCAGAAAGGTACTCTTTGCTAAAAGGATACGCGGACAGGGCTGTTTACCTATTCATTGGGTAGTGATTAGGTGTCAAAGGAATCGAGTGGCCCCACTAACAATCCAAACTTTGATTCTTCTGAAAACATAGAACTTTTAACTTTAAAGATCATTTTTTCTTTCTCTATCACTTAGGACTGAGATGGCACGTTTGTGTTGTTTGGTATTTCACTCGCGCCTTATGCGATCAACACAACTCTCAAATAATGCCGAAGAGTGTATTTTAGAGACTTGAAAATGTTATAACAGTGGGAAATTGTATCCCTTTTTCGATGAGGAATGAGCAAAATATCTGTTGGCGTAATATTTTAAACCATCGAATAAGAGATACTTTGGTGCGGAAGCTTTAATGAGTACTAGTGTTCCTGTTTAAGATCCAGCAAAATGTGATACACGTGTGGACCGATCAGAGTTCTTTAATCACAGAACAAGTTGAGTCTTTTAATTCAGCTAGGCTTCTATAATTTTGTTTAATTTTTTCATTCTTTCAGGTAGAGAGCTTGTTTTCTAAGTGGGTAGTAGATTTTCCAGGCTTACAACTGATCATGGCTGTTCTGCCAGAGAGAGACAAACAAATCTATCCAGAGTTAAAACGTGTTGGCGACAATGTTATCGGAATTCCAACGCAGGGTGTACAGTCAAAAAATGTATACAGTTGTAAACCTCACCTTTGCGCCAATCTCGCGTTGAAGATCAATTCCAAACTTGGAGGAATCAACCATGTTATAGATCCGCGTGAAAAGTCGCCTGTTTTCCGAGAACATGTTATTATCTTTGGCGCCGATGTCACCCACCCCTCTCCAACTGAGAATGGAATTCCTTCCATTGCTGCTGTTGTGGCAAGTATGGATGCCAATGCCACAAAGTACTATGCACGAGTGCGAGCACAGAACCACAGAAATGGAAAAGCTGCTCAAGAAATAATTAATGACTTGGCGGCAATGGTGAAAGAGCTTCTTATTGAGTTTTACAAAGCCAATCGGAAGCTTAAACCTAACAAGATCATCTTCTACCGGGATGGAGTCAGCGAGGGTCAATTCGACCAAGTACTTGTTCATGAAGTGCGAGCCGTGCAACAGGCCTGTATGGATCTTGAAAAAGATTATCGCCCTAGAATCACTTTTGTGGTGGTTCAGAAGCGCCATCATACGAGATTGTTCTGTGAAAACCAACGAGATGAGGTTGGAAAAGCAAGAAATGTTCCCCCTGGTACAACAGTGGACAGCGGTATCACACATCCTTACGAGTTCGACTTTTACCTGTGTAGTCATTATGGAATCCAGGTACTTCAATTTTTGAATAAACATCACGGGTTCTCAGGTAACTTTACTTTTTTTATATAATATTTGCTATTCCGGTTGATCAAAGAAACATTTTCTTCCATCCAGGGAACAAGCCGACCCACACACTATCACGTGTTATATGACGATAACTCATTCACAGCGGACGACCTTCAGCAGCTTACATACCAACTGTGTCACGTGTACGCAAGGTGCACTCGGAGTGTTTCCATGCCAGCCCCCGCCTATTATGCCCATTTAGTAGCTTTCAGAGCTAGACACCACGTGACTGGAAATGGAAGGTTGGATATACTTGTAATTTTATTTACATTGGAGCTTAAATTGTGGAGAGGTTTTATAGAAAGAAAATAGAGTCAACTGGACTAAACGATTCTTTGGTTTTCTGGAAAGGGAGAAATTGCCAGTATTATTTTGAGCTTTAAAATTCGTTGTTCGCTCAAATGATCAGACAGTCTACCCAAATAATATAATGATAATAATAATAATAATAATAATAATAATAATAATAAAAATATTCTGAAATACTAAAAGGAAATAATTATGCACGAATACAAACGAATGAAAACAGGACAGTTCTAGTCATTATGATGCGAGATTTTCAGTTCCTAGCCAGTTTGTTCCTTAAGGTGTATTAAAATTAGAATCTTCTTGTTTCAGTGTGGACCTGGAGAAGTCCGCAAAAGCAATCGAGGTGAATGCTAAGATGAAGGGAGCCATGTACTTTACTTAGCGAAGCACCAGGAATATGTCATGTATTGGAACAGTGTAACTGATCTTCCCTGTTTAGAATGATGCTAAAGGGGGAAAAGCTGTTTTGTCTGCGATAATTTTCGTCAAACAACCTTAAAGAAAAGCAAGTGAAATTATCTTTGTGGTAATACTTGTTATTATGTTTTTGTATAGATATTACCGACATTATTATACTTGACGAAAATAATACAGGATGTAATATTTTTTCAGATAAATATATTTAAAATTCTAAATATGCGTTAGGTAGAGAAATTGAGTGTTCCAGTTAATTATTGCAGGAAATACGATTGAATTAAAGACAGTCAGTATGCCGTGAATTTTTCTTAGTAAGATTATATCATGATTTTCGATGCTGTAGTTGTCCAAAGGATGTCGATAGTGAAATATAATTTTGGAATCGGAACCATTAATTTGTTCTAGCAATTTTTTAAAAGTACTCGTGATTTAGTATGGCATTATCCCGAAAAGTAGTTTGATTTTGAACACAGGGGCCGTGTCTGTGATGGACGGCGATAACGCCCGTTTTGATGGCCAAATCTGTAAATAGCATATGAAATGTACTCTTTCTCCCTTGCGTTGTTTTCTCTATTACAGTTCTTCTTAAGTTTAGATTATTTAGTTGTGATGACAGGCAGTCTAATTAACAATTATTCCACGAGCGCGCGTTGGATATGAGATGATAGATAGCCAACGAGGCGCGTAGAGCCGAGTTGGCTATAATCATCTCATATCCAACAAACGCGAGTGGAATAATTGTTTTATTAAAAACGTTAAATTAAATTATTCAAATTTATTCAATGTCTTAGCTCCCTTTTAAATTTAAGCTGACGCGTGCGCTTACCATATTTGTAGATTATGGTATATTGGCTCATATACCATAATGGCTCCGCCAATAAAAAGTCTTGAATTGCATTATCCAATGATCCAGTTTTTAATAATGCTATTTATAGTTGCACGTAACATAAAAAATTCCAGGATTAAAATTGTAAGATTCTAACCACACTCAGGCGAGATATTCAAGGTGCAAGTTTATTTAGGATGAGTCAGCCAGTCTTGTAGTATGCGCATCCTAAAACAATTTGCGATGCACTGCATGTATTCACTGACCTGAAGGGTTCTACAAAAAGAGTCTGTGCTACGCCAGATACGAAAAACCACTTAAAAAACCACTCTTTAAAAGTGGCCAAAAAAATATGTGGAAACGTGTTCCTCATCTAATGCAGCAGCACGATATCCCGAGGAGAGGGTAACTAACCTAGTTACACTACTTATCACACAGATAAAATAATGAATGTAGTGATATTTTACAGAGAGTTGTAAAACAAAATTACGTTAAATAAGGAAAAAAGAAAGTGGTCAAACCTAAGACTGACCGACCTATGAATGACTTAATTTCCCCGCGAAACGCCATGATGCCACGCGAACCTCTTCAACTTTCCTATGTCACTGAAACGTCAGAAATTACAAGTCTTGATGTTTATGGTATCCGTTGATTCTCGAACAATCTACTCTGGCTGCCTTCGGAGAAAACCGGATTGAGCAAAATGGTAATGATCCAGAGGGTTACTGGTACAAGACATGCAAAAACATCGAATATGAATATGAACTTCGTCAAGCCTTTTTTTATTATCTTTTAAACCCCATACTAGGAGATCTTTATTTGTAGAACAAAAGTCAAAAGAGAACGTGATTTATTCTTTCAGACTATTTTTCTTTATATGTCTTCCTTTAAGTTTCGACTTCATGTACAAGGCCCATTTTTCTTGCCTTGCGCCCCCGCTTAGTGGGTATGGTCAAAGGTTCCCGAACAGGGCAAGTATAGTTTCTAAAACAGGGCTCACGGTTCCTGCACGAGTGTGGACTTGCAACGAAGCAAGCACTTTTATTTTCCAAGATTGGTGAGTTCGTGGTCTCTTAAGGAGAGTAGAAATTACGATAACTTTTTAAGGATGCGCTCATCGCCCATTCCATGCCTGACACAGGGCTGGTGCTGTTTGATCAGTGCAATCGGCGAATTTCACCTGGTTACTGGAACACGAAATGGGAAATGCTCAGAAAAAACTAATTCTAGAAGATCAAGAAAAGCCTGAGTCCCAACAATAAACCTAACTTTGACTGAGTGTTGAAAGTCTCTAAGCTACAGTAATTGAATTTGCGAAAAGATCAGTCACATATACTGCGAACTAAATGGGCTCTCTCGTTCAATTGGCTTTACCCTTAGTGAATAAATGTGAGAGAAAAAAGTCCAAATCTACCCTTTTAGGCCTAATTAAGTCTGTACTTTGTGGATATTACCCTTCACGCCACACCCTCTTCTCTAACTCCCCTCATTTATGTAATCATTACTAAGGTGTCTCACAGACTGTGATTTCTTTGATTGATCTGAAATTGACATGGTTCGCCTTAAATTAGCATATTGTACCTCAATTGCAATGTTTTTTCCTTTCAACTTAGCACTCCAAATGATGCATATTCATGGACACCTTTAGCAGTCCAAAACTCCAAAAAATCGTGATTTCAATGGTTAATCAATATTCAACTTAACGGAGAGCTTTAATTCAATCGTTCATAAAAATCATAGCCGCGTTTCGATGAAGAGTTTTCAGCTGACTTTATCCCTCGTTAAGATTTTATCAACATTTATTCGAATCAAAGCATTTATTCATTCATGTATGAATGAATTTATTTTTTATATATATATTTTTTTTATCAAAAGCACGATAAATTTCTCACAACTGTGATTGTATGCTGAGTAATCGTACATAGCTCGAAATGGAGCTTCACGAAAAGAGTAAGTACTTCACAGTTCGAAGTCCGATCCACGATTTGTATCGCGTAGACTAATGCGATGGTGTGTGACGTATATCCGCTCAAATGTAAACAGAACCACTATGCGTGACATGAAGCGAAACTATTCCGCCATGTTGGGAAGCTACTTGAAATGCCTGAAACCGAACCGCGTTCGATCGAAATGCTAACATTTTAGATGCATAGCAACGACTGTAGAAATGTCTTACGAACAATATAGTGGCCTTCTTTTTGAGATTAGCCAACGACTCGATCAACTGAATCAACATGAACGCTTGCTCTTCATGTGTAGAAGGCGTGTGGTGTCTAGACCTGAAAACATTCGCGATGCACTTTCGCTGTTACGAGAGCTAGAGGAACAAAATAATTTGGCCATTGATCAAGTTGAGTTATTGAAAGATCTTCTAAGAGAAGTCGGAGAATGTTCTTTGTTGCAGAAAGTGACAAAGTTCGAGGACAAAAGAAAAGATTACAACGAGTTACTTGAACAGATCAGCCGTGCTCTCGACGAAAGCAATCAACTGCAGCAGCTCATTGCTGTCTGCATCGAGAGGGGTACGTTGGAGGAAAATGAAAGAAACACACAAATTGGTCGAATTTTGTTTGAAAAACTTGAATGCCGTGAACATTTTGCATTTGGTCGCCTTGCTTTCTTGAAAGGGATTTTATCGGAAATTGAGAGACTAGATCTAGTGAAGAAGGTTCAGGATTTCGAGAAGCGGAGAATTGATGAGGATGAATTTGAAAGAAGAAAAGGTAAGGATTATTTGGTCGTCTGTAAATCACCCTAACTTTAGGTCACCGAAATGTTTTGGTATCTACCTTGGTGTTTTTGCTCGCTCAACGTCCATCAAGCGACCAAAACACTTTGTTTTGATCAGAACTAAAAACTGAAATGCGATTTTTTCCGTTGAATATAATTCTCGTGCCTAATTTGTCATTGAATCTTACAATTTAAGCACAAGCCGGAAGCATTGTTGCAGCGGCCAGGGTTGTCGGTGGAAGAGTTATCGGAGGTGAGTTAAAATTGATGTGAGTTAAGTGTTAAGCTTGAGTAAGGAAGAGTTCCAAACTTTAAACAAACTCAAGATCTGGAGCACTTTAAACTGTATTCACAAATATTAATTTGCACTGAATTGGGCCAAATTAAGTCACCGAGATCAGTTGCAAGATAAATATGGATTCATTCGATATCAGGCCATATGGGTATCTCAGAGCGTACTCGTATGCATGCTCATGTCAGTGCGTTAATTATTCGGTCGAAGTTGTTTCCGATTTCCTCGATGAATTCGAGTAGTGGCCTACAAATTCGCCAAGGGGAATTTGGGAAATTGTCAGGAAGGATAAGCGATGAGTTAAGGTTTTTTTAGGATCCTCCATCATTAAATCCTTGGTGTCTGCACATTAGGATATGGTAAGTTACGCTAACAGCTAAGGATGATGTATGCGAGGAATATTATTGATCGATGTTTTCTTTCTGGGTAGGAAGTTATTGTTAGACTGTCATAATCCATGAAGTTTGTTCACTCGCTTCTGATTGGTCTATGCGGGCCACGTGGCTGAAAATCCTGCTTAATTAAGGCGGTAGGCTGAATATCCGTCCGAGTGAGATTTCTAAGATTCTATTGTCAAATACCCCGAAAATAAACTCGAAGGTAAACAAGCAAGGTCGGATAATCAAAGGAAAGATCAGTTCTGCGGAAACTTATTCAAACAAAATTTGCATCAAACGGCGATTAAATTTCGTCCAAACCGTACGATGGCCTTAATTTAATTTTAATTTAATTTAATAGCTTCGCCGACCGGCAGGGACATAGGCATTTATAGATTATGCTTGTAAAAGTGGCATATTATGCT